CCTCCCCTCTGGCTCATGGTTATTCACACACAAGTTATTCACACACGCACATGGCTCTTGCAGCCTATGCAGGGGCGGGGCAGGCAGGCAGGCTGCCTGAGAAACATGCTGGACTGCTGGCTGGAAGTCACCCAGGTAAGTCTCCTGGCCAGAGCCCTACCCGTGGCACCTGAGCCCCTCCCTTCCCCAACACTCTGCCCCCCTCCTGAGCCCATACCTCCTCCCAGATCTGGTGCCCCAATTTCCTGCCCCAGATCACAATCCCTCCTGCTCTAGGTCACAACCCAAATTCCTGCATCCCATTCCCCCACCATCGATCCCAAACCAAACCCCTGCACCTCCTACTGTACCCCAATCCCCTATCCCAGGTCACAGCTCCCTCCTGCCCTAGATCACATCCCAAGCCCCTGCACCTCAGTCACCTGCCCTAGGTCACAACCCAAACCCCTGCTTCCCCTCCTGTACCACAATACCCTGCCCCAGGGCACAACCCAAAGGCCTGCACCCCAGTCCAGTGCCCCAGGACACACCTGCCTCCTTCCCCCGACCTCCATCCCAGACCCACGTCTCCTCCGTTAACATCATGGACGAGTGCGGCCCTCGACCGCTTACCAAGACCTTGGAGTGGCCCCTCCCATCATAAATGATTGCCCACCCCTCTGTGAACCGATTACATCTCTAGTCTCAATCCCAGCCTGGGCCCCAGGCAGCCCCTCGGTGTCCAGGGGCAGAGGGACCCCACAGAGCCCTGCCTAGAGGAGCAGAATGGGGCAGCCCCAGCTAAAGCTTTCCCCTCCCCCATCCCCTGGCAGGGCAATATGGGGAGGGGGGCCGGGGAGAGGCAGCTTGTCTGGTGCTTGGGGGCTGGGGGCTCAGGGCCTGTCAGACAATCCAGCAGCACAAACGAGTAATTGAGAATCGGGGCCTCAGCCTGTAAGTGCTGAGGGGCCCGGTCCCTGGTCCTGTCACCCAGCTCAGTGCGGGGGAGGGGGATACGGGGAACGTCTCCCTGCCCAGGACTGGACCCAGCGTCCCCTCTTGCCTTGCAGATATCGACGAGTGTCTGGGGCCCAACCCAGTGAACTGTGGGCCCGATGCCAAGTGCAACAACCTGCCTGGGAGTTTCTACTGCACCTGCGCCGATGGCTACGAGTCCAGCTCTGGGAAGGCTCAGTTACTTGCCTAAGCAGCTCCCAGCCAGCAGCTCTGTGAGGCTCCCCTGCCTGCCAGCAGCCCCAGACCTCTCAAAGCAGCTGGCTCTCCATGGGGCTCTTTGCACTGCAGGGGGAGGCTTCGGTTGCTGCCCCCGCCCCCGGCAAAATCTCTCGGTTTCTATTGCCCAGAAGCTAATCGTAGGGAGCTGAGAAATTGTGCTGCACTGCCCCCGCCCATAGCAAAATCTCTCCGCTCCCATTGGCTGGTTTCCTGCCAATAGGAGCCAAGAGCTTTTGTTGAGGGTGGGACAGTGTGTGACGTCTCCCCCACCCTGAGAGCCACAGGGAGCAGCCAGCTGCTTTGAGCGACGGGCGGCTGGGGTGGGTCCCTCGCCCGGGTAGTCCACTCTACACCAATGGGGGAGAGGTCTCCTGATGGCATAATTAAACCACCCCTAACTTGCTACGTCTGGGCGGAGAGCATCTCCTCCTATCCATACCAGCTCTTTAGTTGGTGAAATACTTCCTGTCTGGATGTTTTTATCATACCTAAACTGGAAAAAAAGTTTTACCAACAAAAGTGCTAATCATAGAATCATAGAATAATAGGACTGGAAGGGACCTCGAGAGGTCATCGAGTCCAGCCCCCCGCCCTCAAGGCAGGATCAAGCTCCGTCTACACCATCCCTGACAGATGTCTATCTAACCTGTTCTTAAATATCTCCAGAGAGGGAGATTCCACCACCTCCCTTGGCAATTTATTCCAATATTTGACCACCCTGACAGTTAGGAATTTTTTCCTAATGTCCAATCTAAACCTCCCCTGCTGCACTTTAAGCCCATTACTCCTTGTCCTGTCCTCAGAAACCAAGAGGAACAAATTTTCTCCTTCCTCCTTGTGACACCCTTTTAGATATTTGAAAACCGCTATCATGTCCCCCCTTAATCTTCTTTTTTCCAAACTAAACAAGCCCAGTTCATGAAGCCTGGCTTCATAGGTCATGTTCTCTAGACCTTTAATCATTCTTGTCGCTCTTCTCTGTACCCTTTCCAATTTCTCCACATCTTTCTTGAAATGTGGTGCCCAGAACTGGACACAGTACTCCAGCTGAGGCCTAACTAGTGCAGAGTAGAGCGGCAGAATGACTTCACGAGTTTTGCTTACAACACACCTGTTGATACAACCTAGAATCATATTTGCTTTTTTTGCAACAGCATCACACTGTTGACTCATATTCAACTTGTGGTCCACTATGACCCCTAGATCCCTTTCCGCCATGCTCCTTCCTAGACAGTCGCTTCCCATCTTGTATGTATGGAACTGATTGTTCCTTCCTAAGTGGAGCACTTTGCATTTCTCTTTATTAAACCTCATCCTGTTTACCTCTGACCATTTCTCTAACTTGCTAAGGTCATTTTGAATTATGTCCCTATCCTCCAAAGAAGTTGCAACCCCACCCAGTTTGGTATCATCTGCAAACTTAATAAGCGTACTCTCTATCCCAATATCTACATCATTGATGAAGATATTGAATAGTACGGGTCCCAAAACAGACCCTTGAGGAACTCCACTTGTTATCCCTTTCCAGCAGGATTTAGAACCGTTAACAACAACTCTCTGACTACGGTTATCCAGCCAATTATGCACCCACCTTATCGTGGCCCTATCTAAGTTATATTTGCCTAGTTTATCAATAAGAATATCATGCGAGACCGTATCAAATGCCTTACTAAAGTCTAGGTATATGACATCCACCGCTTCTCCCTTATCCACAAGGCTCGTTATCTTTTCAAAGAAAGCTATCAGATTAGTTTGGCATGACTTGTTCTTCACAAACCCATGCTGGCTATTCCCTATCACTTTATTACTTTCCAAGTGTTTGCATACGATTTCCTTAATTACCTGCTCCATTATCTTCCCTGGGACAGACGTTAAACTGACCGGTCTATAATTTCCTGGGTTGTTCTTATTCCCCTTTTTATAGATGGGTACAATATTTGCCCTTTTCCAGTCTTCTGGAATCTCCCCTGTCTGCCATGATTTTTCAAAGATCATAGCTAAAGGCTCAGATACCTCCTTTATCAGCTCCTTGAGTATCCTGGGATGCATTTCATCAGGTCCTGGTGACTTGCTGACATCTAACTTTCCTACGTGATTTTTAACTTGTTCTTTGTGTATCCTATCTTCTAAACTTACCCTCTCTCTGCTTGTATTCACTACGTTAGGCACACCTCCAGACTTCTCGGTGAAGACCGAAACAAAGAAGTCATTGAGCATCTCCGCCATTTCCAAGTTCCCTGTTACTGCTTCTCCCTCCTCGCTAAGCAGTGGGCCTACCCTGTCCTTGGTCTTCCTCTTGCTTTTAATGTATTTATAAAAGGTCTTCTTGTTTCCCTTTATGGAAGAAGCAGCTTTGTGCCAGAATGGTAGCATAGGGAAGCTCTGTTCCTTGTGCTGGCTTGCAGGCTCCCCCCCCCTCGCTCCCATTGACCAGGATTCCCAGCCAATGGGTACAGTGGGGTGGAGCCTGAAAATGCAGGGCTTAATGGAGCCACTTGTAGCTCCACAGGAGCTGGACTATGAAGTTGCTCCAATCCCTTGCTCCCTTCTACACCCCACCTCCTCCCTGCCCTTTTCCCCCACTCCCTTTCTGTATCCCACCTTCTGCCCAGACCTCACGCTACCATCCCGCTCTTGCACCCTCTCTCCTGCTCAGACCCTCCACCTCCAGCCCACTCCTGCACCTTGCCTCCTGCCCAAACCCTGCACCCCAAACACCAGCCCACACCCTGGCAGCCCTCTCCCACACATTTAACCCATCACTTTTGACCCCCACCCCAGAGCCTATGGAACCCCCACAAAATCTACTAGCCCTGGGCCCCCAAAAGAGTTAATATGAGCTAGCGGGAAACTCTGAGCCTTGGCATCCTCCCCCCACCCCACCACACCTCCTGGTGCTCCAAGTTCCATGAGTGAGGTGAGTGACTCTTTTTTTCCTGCTTATCAGTTGTATGCCACTTCCATGAGGATTTTGGATTGATTTGGTTTTTTAATTCTCATTTGTGTGCAGCCCCTAACTGATTTTTCTGTGGGTGAGAGGCCCCCAACTCAAAAAAGGTTCAACACATCTGGATTATGAGATTGTCTTATGAGACTATATGAAATATCTTGATTCTTAATAAGCCATCACATCTATTGCTTCCCCCTTGGCCAATAGGCCAGTAACCCTGTATTGTGAGGCAATTTCTCATGTATATCCTGCTTCATACACTTTCTCAGCCTAGTCGTACCTGATTTCAAATAACCATAGACTCAGGAGGAACCACAAGTACCATCTATTCTAACCCTTTGCCAAGATGTAGGATCTATTGGCTTGAAACTAGGGATGTTAAATATCAGTTAATTGAATAGTTGAGTAACCTCATGAATTCTTATCAGTTACTCAACTATTCTATAGTCCCTGGGGGTGGAGCCAGCAGCTAGTGCACTCCAGCCTCACTCCCAAGGAGCCCCCTGCCAATCCGTGCTGCTTCCTCTGTATCAGAGGCAACAACACGGGGTGTCAGGTGGGAGCTGGTCCACAAGGGGAGACAGTTTAAAAAACAGTTGCCCTGTGCTGCTGCCTCTGATAAAGAGAGATCAGGGTTGGATGGGAGCAGCCCCTGTCTAGGAGAGGTCTGAGCTCTCAGGCCCAGTAGGAGCTGGAAATGAGTCGGGCTGCCTGCCTGCTTCCTAATACATTTTAAATGCACAGCTGCAGCAGGGGTAGGTCCTGGAACCAGCGTGAGCCAGGACTGAGCTGTGCTGTTGGCCAGCCTGCTAAGAAATTTACTGGTGGGGATGGGGAGGCAAATGTGTGTAGTCTATAGCATGAACCTGCAAGCTTTTGCTTATCAATTAATCGGTTAATTGACTACACTATTACATCCCTAGTTGAAAACATCCTGGACAGCCTCACTTTGAAAACCTTGAGTGATGGAACTTCCTTGACCTCTCTAGCAATCAGTTCCATTTTCCTAGTTAAGGAGATTTTCTTGAGATATAATCTGACACTGCTGTGGTGTAGTTTGAATCCATTGTCTCTTGTCCTGCTTTTTGTGGCAAGAGAAAAAAAACTTCTCCATCTTTATGGCAGCCTTCCAGCTATTTGAAGATTGCTATCACATCCCCCTTATCTCCTCTTTTCCAAGCTAAAGAGACCCAGTTCCTAAAGCCTTTGCTCAGATGCCTTTCATTCCTCCTTCCATCTTGTTGTCACATGCCTGTGGATTTGTCAGGGCTGATCTCCGCTCTGGCACTCTGAGTGCAGAAGATGAGGGCCCGCAAGAAACCTTGGATACCTTGCCTCTATAAGGCTCTGCTTACAAAAACTCCCCAGAGTCACAGATGTACTGGCTCTGAAAAAAAAGCTGCCACCATCAAGAGATTTACACTAAAAAGAAAACAGGTGGGAACACTTGAATTCTTCCCTCAATGGTACCCTATTGGTTGCCTCAAAAGAGCTTGAAAAAAAGAGAGAAACAAGTTGCTGTCTCTAGTAGCTAACCGCTCAGTCTATGCAGACAGACAGACAGACAGACACACACAGAGAGAGAGAGAGAGACACACACACACACACACACACACACACACACACAACTCCCCGGTGTAGACCAGGGCTGAGAGGGAATACACCCATCCCTCTGGCACCCTCGAAATATCTTCCAGATTCACTCCAGTCACCTTCACTCAACTACCCTCCCGGAGAAATAAAAAAGCAAATTGAAAGAGCCAGACAAATACCTAGAAAC